GGTCCCGGCCACATGTTCCCCTCTGCTTCTCAGAGCCCGTGGCAGGCGGCCCCAGGAGCCCAGCCTCTCCAGATACTCCCAGCGCGACCCCGCACTCCAGCACCCCTATGAAATGCAGGCTCTTGATGATCATCTGGGTGGAAGAGGACTTGCGGATGGTCCTGGGCTGTGCCAACACAGCAGAGCGTCTGCCTCAAGACCTGTCCTGCCACCCGTCTGCCCACAGATGTGCAGGTGCTCCCGGCCAGCAGCCCTTCGTGACGCTTAGGGAGAGGCTTACAAGCCATTTTCCTCCACATCTGGGGTGGCGTGGGGAAGGCAGAAGACCCGGCTACATAAGATAAATGGAAAGATAAGGGGTCATTCACAGAATCCGCAGAAATGGCTGGGAAATGAGAAAGAATAAAGGAAGCCAGTCTGCAGGGAATAGCACGTGTCAAACCGCTGGAAACGCTGGCTAAGAAGCCGCCTCCAAGTCCACACGTCTCGGGGACACCCGCTGCGCTCGCTGTCTTTGCTGGGTGGCAAATTACCCCAAATCGAGCAGCTGGAAACAGCATCCACAGCTCTGTAGGTCAGAGGTCAGGTGTGACTGGGTTTTCTGGGCAGGGTCTCCCAAGTCCTAGATCAAAGGGTTGGCCTCACGGGGCTCTCTCCGGAGGCTCAGGGCAAGAACCCACTTCCAGGCGCATTAGGTGGTTGGTGGGACTCAGCTGCTTCTTGTCTCAGGTAGCTAGCGCTCCTGTAACAGAAATGTCACAACCACATTTATCTTCTCCCAGTTCGGGAGGCCAGCGTGTGGCCTTTTTTGTCTCTTGCAGCTTCTGCGACCAGCAACGCTCCTCGGAGGTCCTGGCCTTGTAGATGCTTCGACCTCCTTTGTCCTCCGACGTCTTCCTTCCGTGTCAGCTAGCTTGTCTCTGCTGTTCTTATACAGCAGAACCGGCACAAGCCGGAACCTGTGGAAGGCAGAAACCTGTCAGAGAAGGACCAGTCAAACATTCCCCACTAAAACAAGCGATAGAAAAGTCATAAAAGAGTGCACCCTGTCAAAGGCAGAAAATGTGCAAGACCCGGAAAAACAACGCAGACCCACTGTCATGGATTGAACTGTGTCCCCCCAAAATATCTGTCTACTTGGCAGGTCATGGTTCCCAGTATTGTGTGACTGTGTACCATTTTGTGGTCCGATGTGTTGTGGGCTCTATCACTGTGATGTGGTGGGACGGATTGGCGGCAGTTATACTGATGAGGTCTATAAGATTACATAGTGTCTTAAGCCAATCTCTTCTGAGATATAAAAGGGAGAAGCGAGCAGAGACACATGG